AAAATTTAGTGATTTACAATCCTAGAAAATGTAAAACAAAAAAATGAAATAAAATTACAATTGTTTACATATTTTTATTAATTTTAATTAATATTTAAGATATTTCTGAAATAATAATGAGAAGATACGAAAAAAATATGATTACTGTATAACATAACACTAATAAATAAAAATTTAGCGATTTACAATCCTAAAAAATGTAAAACAAAAAAATAAAATAAAATTACAATGTTAATTAGGTTACGAATATTAATTAGTTCATCATGAAAGCTGAGTAAGTTTCTGATTAATTTATTCGTCTAAAATAATAAGAAGTAAAATGTATAAAATGAAGCTAGTCCATAGGTCAACTGGCGTTAATCATGTTTAAAGGTTCATTTACCTCCTTTCAAAGATACGGTTCTACCAGCCCCATGGTGAAAATGTTAAAAAAAAATAAAATAAAATAAATTGCATAAAATATTTGAGAGTTTAGAGTTGATCTATTGGGGAAAGATAGAGACACCTAGCTAGAAACAAATCCCATCCATCCCGTTCTAGCTCTTTGATGACATTCTTTAGAGTTGCAATTCTATGAAACTAACAAAAAGGACAGTTGAGTTAGTGTTCAACAAATATGGTGCAAAGAAAGAGGTCTACTGAAAATAGCATTATAAAAATGGTCAAAGCCTCTATTTGCACCATCTATTTATTTGTTTTTTACGGTCAACACCTTCCAAAATTTTTCTTCTCTATTAACACCCTCTATTTTTTCAAACCCGTGAAAAACTCAATATTTTAATGGGTCGTCACGTAACCGTTAATAACTGTTAAAAAATGTAACACGTGCCACTTGAAAGTTGACTTGAACATTATTTGACGTTATCTATCCAACATGAACTTTTTTTACTGACGTGGCATAACTTTTTATGCACTTGAATGCCCACGTGTGTAGTAGGAACACTATTAACAGGATTTTTCTTGCTTGTCTCGCATCCCAACCCAAAAAAAAAAAAAATCCTAAAACAAGGAACTTCATCCCCAATCTCAAAAACCCAATTTCCAGATCTAGGATTTCTCAAATCCTTAACAAATGTACAATGGAATTGGATTTGTCGACCTCACCAAGAAACCCAACAGGGACATCCTTGAGCATGATCGTAAGCGTCATATCGAGCTCATGAAGTAGGGCTACATCAATGCTGAGAATGCTAAGAAGCTTCTTGAGACCAGGAAAGTGTTGGAAGCTCCTATTGCTTCCAATGAGATCACTGTGCTATGATGGAGATGGAGCCATCAGCAAAGGCGGATAAGAGGTTTGGAGGAAAGGAGCCATCGCAATCGTGTATCAAGCAAGCTTGAGGAGAAACAAACCCAGATCCAGGTTATAGTGAGGATTCGTCACCTTGAAACTTGTTTGGGGTCTTCTTGGATCGTGAAATGGATGGTGAGGGGGAAATGGACCCAGATCTGGGTTATCCAAAGAGGATTCGTGACATGGATGGTGAGGGGATCGTGAAACTTGCCAGCTCGTTTTCTTGCTCATAACCGATCTCATCTTCTTCCTTTGCGACCATCTTTTTCATGCCATGAATACTGTTGCTTCTCCTTAGCGAATTGGCCAAACACTTACCCTTTTGGTTCTTGATCGTCCGTAGCACTACCTTAGTCCATGTTCTTCTCGACCCAATCACACACGCCATGGTTTTATCAGCTGCAATCCTAATTCTTTTGTACCAGAAAAAGATTTCTCTAGAAGAAGAAGAACTAGGTTTTTGAGATTGGGGAAGAAGAACAGTGGTCCTTGTTATGCCACATTTTTACAAAAAAAAAAAAAAATTATGCCACATCATCTAAAAAACGTCCACATTGGATTAATAACGCTAGATAATGTCAACATGGCATCCACTGTTGCAGATCCATTTTAAATGCTCTTTGTTTTAGGTTTTTTTTTCTTTTTTTCTTTTGGTGGGGATGCAAGGTAAAGCGAGAAAAGTTCCTCTAGGAGTGGGACCCACTGCACATGTAACATCCACGTGTGCAAAAAATTATGCCATATCATCAAAAAGGGTGCCACATAATACACTTGTGCAGACAATTATGTCAAATTAGATAGATAACGTCAAATAATGTCCAAGTCAATTTTCAAGTGCCACGTGTTATATTTTTTAACGATTATTAACGGTTACGTGACGGCCCGTTAAAATATTGAATTTTTTACGGGTTTGAAAAAATAGAGGGTGCTAATAAGGAAGAAAAATTTTGGAAGGTGTTGACCGTGAAAAACAAATAAATTGATGGTGCAAATATGTGCTTTGCCCTATAAAAATTAAGGAATGAACTATAGAGCGCAAAGAAAAAATGTTAAATTTTAATTTTAGTTTTTTAATTTTATAGTTTTATATATTTTTTGTCACTTAAATTTTTGATGCATTTTTTTATTCTATAATGATAAAAAAATA